GGTATACTTACATAAGCATTTCTAATTCAGTAGTCAAATTTATTGTTATTTGTGGATTTTTTATTTCTTGAATTTTCTTCCTTATTTTGCTTTTATTTCGTTAAAAGTTTTACATTAGCTTTGAGTTCCTCCTAATTTTGTAAAACTGCTATTTGGCTTCAAATATCCAGACAAATCAGATGAACAAGATGTTTATGATTTCTGTTTCAGTGGAATGCTGTTGCACTGTGGGCCTGGGACATCGTGGTGGATAACTGTGCCATCTGTAGGAACCACATCATGGATCTCTGTGAGTTCATGTCAACATGGGTTGGGACGTCTAGTTCTTCTGGGACATATTTTAGTTGTAAACAAGAGTGTGGATATTCAAATGAGGGATTTTTGAACTGCTCATAACCAAGTTCTTCTTCTTCCTCCATCAGGCATAGAGTGTCAGGCCAACCAAGCTTCTGCTACATCTGAAGAGTGCACTGTGGCGTGGGGTGTCTGTAATGTGAGTTTCCGAACTGTGCGTCATAATATTGTSGATTACCTTTAATGTGTATAGATGTTGTGTTCTTCTTGTGTTGTTATATCAATAAGAGAAGCTGATTGTTGATAATTGTTTGTTTTTCTACAGCATGCCTTTCATTTCCACTGTATCTCACGTTGGCTGAAAACCAGACAGGTGTGTCCTCTGGACAACAGAGAGTGGGAGTTTCAGAAGTGAGTTGAATCATATTTTACGAGAAATGTCTGAGAAATAACGTGGTTGCCTCTATCTTTAATGACGGCACATTATTTCTCCCCACAGATACGGACACTAGCTGTAACTTTGTTGTCTTGTTCCTGGACTTCTGCGAGCGCCAGCCTCTCCACTTCTGTATTCCTCCTCCGCTGTAACTAGGTGTTATTTCACACACATTTTGTTTTGGTATGTTGTGAGTACTTAAATAAACAGTAATGTTATCAGTCTTTGGTTTGCTTCTTGCCATCAGGAAAATATAATCTTATTGAAATTATAAAAATGAGCTAAAGGCGACTAGCATTGGTAATGTTTAAGAATTATATTGTGATAAATGAAATTCTGAGTGTCCACAGCCTTTAATCAGATTAGCTTTGATGCCCAGGGCAGTAATCCTCAGCCTAAAACACAGATGACACAGCTGGATTAAAAAGCTCTGATGTCCCACTATTGCTCTAAAAATGTTTTATTATTGCAGCATTTCAGAAGTCTGGGGCAATGCATCAATTTAAGCTTAAATCTTTACTCATAAGCCAAGATAAATTTAACATTTATCAGTAAGTCATGTATGAAGAAAAAACTTGTTTAGAATTCATGTTTTGATTTTTTTTTGCACATAATTTGGATTATGAGAAAATTACCCATTTACAAATTCTGTCTTGGGGAAAACAGCTAAATCATGAAACCAAAACCAAAAACTAAGTTTGTTTTGCATCAAGAGATTTTATTGTGAATATTTTTTCCAACAGGGTGAAACATCAACACTTTAATTTTTTGCATTAACAGATCTGTTAACAAAACGTGCCGGCTCCCCCGTGTGAGAGTTCGGCTGTGTTCACAGAGGGAACAAAGAGGTTAAACCACGTATTAAATGGCTGTAGAAATGCTAGTGTCTTAACGGAGGGGCTCGCAGTGCAGTTGTTTCAAACGCACGTTTAAAAAAAGTCGACCTGCGGTTAAACTAAGTCCCGGCTGAGACACGTCTTTGAGGTTCTCCACGTAGCGGAGCTGATTCCTAACCGTCGGGATGCTTTGATTACATGAGTCTAAACAGGCTGATTAAGAACATTAATAAAACGTCACCCATCTTTCTCCGTCGCCTCACCAGTTCACCCACCGTCAGCTCCTCCCTGTTTTAACTAAACACAGTGAATAATTGTTGAAAAGCGTCGCTCTTGAGATTGCTCCACCACGTCTTCGGCTCAGTTTTGGCCCCCCACCCCACCCCCACCATCGTAGTCGTCTACGGCTGCGGGGAATCTCCGAATTTAGAGCTCAGCTTGGTGACGAGGGCCATGATTTTAGGATTGTTCTGATACTTGGAAATGTTGGCCGGGTTCTGGGCCACATCCTGGAAGGCAGCCATCACCTCAGGATCCTGGGAAGAAGACAAAAACATGTTACTGAAGTTTTAACACTAGTTACATTAAGTTCTAATTAAGTATATTTTTTAAAGACTCAGTGGCTGTGTTAGGTTATGGGGTTTCATGAAAACCGGTACAATCCATGCATTAGGCCCAGTTTACATGAAGCCATAACCGTTCTGCCATTCACATCAACCACACTAGTTTCCTCTGAAACTGAAGCTGGTTTTTGGAGACCCAGCAAGTTGACTAACAAAAGAAATGAGGTCTGTGACTCAGTCATTCTGCAAAAATGTGGCAAATCATTCTGAAAACAATGACAAAAGTAAAGCTTTTCATTTAAAAGAGGAGTATCATGCTTTATATCATGTAATGAAGTCATTCCCTCATCAAAATCATCCCCAGAGTGTTGCTTTGACTCATTCATGTATGTTTGAGAAACCCTTAAATCTCCTGTGTTTTTAGCCTGTGCATTTAGGCAGCTCCATGTGGAGCTGCCTAAATGCTTGCTGGTACAAAGCACCGCCTCTTTACARAAAGCTCCTCCCTGGAGCTGAGTCTGCAGCCCCGCCCCACAGAGCACCCTTCTCCCACAGCTTCACCACTAGCGGTAGCAACAATTAGCAAATGCCTGGTGGAACTGCACGTCTGTAGCGTTTGTAATACAAACTACTTCTCAGTCCAGTCCTTTACAGATTAAAATGCCTTTGAAGCGATCTGTTCTTTGGATTAGACGATGAACCCCGGTCAGTCTGGCCAGTGGCACTAGTTGTATTAATCTCCAAGTGCCAATGAAGAACTGTCTGAATTTTTTCTGAACATTAATTGCACACAATACAATTTTGCCCAACCRTAGTTCCAATTCGAATCTTTATTTCAATCTCTGAATGTTTTTTTGTTGTTTTTTGCCTCTAAACTAATTAGATTTTGTGGAGAAAAAAAAAGCAGAAATTAATCCTATGGTTGTAAAATTGCAGAGATCCTAATTTAGACCAATTCACCCGTGAGACAAAAGGAGGTTCGATGTAAAGCAGAAAATCACCTTCATGGCGTTGAGCAGCTCGGGATCCTTGAAAAGTTCGCTGAGACCAGGCATGCCAGCAGCAGCAGCTCCACCTGGGAAACCACCGGCACCTGCAGGAAGATGGYTTCTTTAAGGCTGCACTAACATCCATCTCTGGTTCTGACTTGTAACAATAAGAGCCGATGAATAAAACATTGTGGCGTTTCCAGCAGGGTTAAATATGAATACTACATCTACCTGGGAAGAATCCTCCTCCAGACTGCCGTGCTTCCTCCTCCTGTTCAAACACCAAGAAAGAAGAGTCAATTTCATGGAGATGTTCTGATGAAAAGCTTATTTAATGTCTAAAAATAAAGGAATAAGCAGAACAGCTCACCCTCTGAGCGCGTGCGTGCTCCTCTCTGGCTTTCTTTATGCGCTCTTGTTTCTCTTTGATCTCCTTCTCTTCCCTCTTACGCTCATATTTGCGTCTGTGCTCCACGATTTTATTAGCCTAAATAATAAATAAACAWTGACCAAAACTAATACAAAAGGCTGCTCTCTCTCTCTGATTCCATGTATTTCTACTGAAAACTATATAGATCTTGTTAAAACAAATAACGAACAAGCTTTGATTTTTATTTGACAATAAATCAAAGCTGCTTCCAGCCATCCAGAAAAACACACAGATATACTTTGATGCTGCAAATTTTAAACATATCAAATAGTTTTCTTCCGTACCTTTGGCTGGACCTCCTTTAGCAACGCGCTGGCATCCTCATCATAGTCCAGCTTACAGGCTGTAGCCAGATCCCTGACAGCCTCCTCCCAGTGACCGAGCAGCCTGCAGTGCACGCGCGCACACACACACACACACACACACACACACACA